GTAGTAAGAATCAGCCGCATGACATCTGGCGTGTCACTTTATTAAGCATTTTTGTTTCCTGAATTCAGGTTCAGGTCAGGCAGGCTGTTCCTCCCACTCACATCCTCCAGGTTACACTATCAGTGTCCATATGGGCTCTGAAGTCCCCAAGTAGGACAAGTAAGTCTCCGGCTGTGGCACATTTCAGCACTCCAGTCAGGGACCTGAAGAAGGCCAGGTACTCTGCTCGACTGACCCAAAGGCGCAGGGAATCAACCTTCTCGTTTAGTGGGGAAAACCCCAACGTGCAGTCGTCCAACCCCTCTCTAGCAGACTGGTTCCTGAACCCAAGTTGTGGGTTGAGGTGAGCCCAACTATATCTAGCTGGTATCACTTGGCCTCAAGTACTAGGCTCAGGCTAAAGAGGGGACATTCCAATTTCAGCAACTGAGAATCAGATTGTCAAGTCTTTGACAGCTGCCTAATCCCTTAGTTATACTTCAATAGGCTCAGGCTGCTCCAGTAATGCACTGAAGCCCCCCCTCCGTGTTTATGCACAACAATTGCATTAATTGTTGGCGATTGTTAAACTCTGTTGCTCTCTTCCAGAATGTGTCTTTTGCCCTCCCCTCTGCTCTCTTCTCTTTCCTCTCACCTAACCGGTCGCTGCAGGTGGTCTTTACCCTGCAATACAATGCACCTTGAGGCAACTGTCATTGTGAATTTGTTCTATATAAATAAAAATTTAATTAGACTGAATTATGTGGTTGCCTCTTTTGAGTGAGACATGAATACTCTGGTCTACAACTTGGAAAGAATAGGGAAAAGAGAAATAATGGGTGGGGTGGCATGCCTAACTCGGGCATCTTTGTGTTACAGATAAAAATACGGACAGAGATCTTTTAACTACTCCGCAAAAACCTTTTGTGGGAGCCAACTGCCAAATGTCGTCATTATAAGTAGGAACCGCATTATTAGAAACATGTAAGATTCATGACGTTTCCATGGCATGTCAATAAACATTTCACGTTTAATTGGAAAATTTGTCAGAGACCAATAATTGACAAGTTACTTTTAGTATAATCCTCAAAGACAAGTGCATTTGGTCCACTGTGTGCAACTTCAGTAATTATCAGATAATGATAATAATGCAGAAAATCATCTTTTACTAAACAGCGATGCCTACCTGTTTCAGAGGATCCATGCAGCAAAATCTTAGATTTTGGTGACACGCCGGCAGAGGTGGAGGCCGTCAGAGTGCAGAAGGAACGCCCAGCAGGAAGGAGCAAGCTACAGGATGTACTCAAATGGTGCAAATATTTGCAGCTCCCATGATCACTCAAGATCGGAGTGCTTTCTGTCTGGCAAGTCACGTTGTAAAAGACAATTTTGCCATTGGCCAGAAAATGAGGTAACGGCTAAAAACAGAAAGAGAAAGCAGTGACTCAAAGCGATGTAATATTACTGAGATTTTAATTAAGCAATCCTGTTATATAAACACAGATTTTTAAATTCTCTCTCCGTTTTCTCGGGCTGTCTCAGTCTTACTCTAAACCTGAATCAAACTTAAATGCAATAAACGAGTAAGTTTAGGGAGACATAAAAGAAATTAGAGACAGCGTAAGGGTGGAATGGTGATTAAAAACAAATTGAATCCCAAAGATTATTAAACAGTAAAGCTCAGAGTGATAGTCATAAGATATTAAACTAGCGAGCTCAAACTCCCATGCAATTCAACACACACACACACACCTTCCAAAGCAGAGAGACGAGTCTCCATCCATTCCTGTGATTTTGTTTCACTCGTCTCCAGAATACTGGTGCTGCAGATGGAGCTGATAGGCGAAAAGAGGGGAAAACATACAAAAATAATTTGAATGAGATCCACCAGAACATTGAGGGACACAGTGAAACTACCTGCTGGCAGTGAACAATTTCAGATTTGTCTTCTACAGCAGGGGTGCTTCCTGTTAAGGAATGATCTAGCTCTTTGCCATTTGTGTCAGCAATTGCTGACACATAACAACACAGGTGGGAGTCATGACGGATGTGATACTACAGTTTATTTGAACTGTGTCTATGATGTCTTTAACACATAGCTGTCTTCACTGTTATTTTTGCCACATAATCAAATCTAGTTCAGAAACAGAGCCTGGAAGCTGGCATAGGCAGCGGTGCCCAAGTATTTATTCTAGGTCATGGTACTGAGGGTTGGTTGGTTTATTTGAGCGGCAGCTGGTCCACCATTTACATGTTAGGTAGAGTCAAACATCTCAAAAAATGATTGCACGTCGCTGACCTGGAAATTGGTACTGAAAGACAAATATAAATAAATGAATAATAACCTTCTCTCTGCATCTTTGTTTTCTGACAGCTTCCCACTGTCCATACAATAGACTAGAGCGTAAAAAAGCATATGAATGCATTTGAAATGAGGAACACAC